GATGGAGGATAGTCTAATTCTATAGTATTTTTCCAAGTGAAATGATTCTAACATTGAATAGAATGTGTTATCTACTTTGAAATGATATTATTTTCCTTTCCAGGACATTTATTTAAAAATATAAAGTAAAATGGCATGGTAGGAAATAGACTAGAATGTTAGGTAAAAGGTTAGGTAAGTGTGTTTCTAGGTATAAGGTTATAAAAAGTTGTTTGTTTTTACTCGTATTCTCTAGAAAAAAAAATCTGAATTACTTTCTCAAGATTAGAACTTTTGCTCATTATTATGCTTTACTAATAATTTCAAGTATATAGCCCATCAAGGAGCTCAATAAAAGAAGGTTTGGGATGTTGAGGGTGGCCTCAGACTTTGAGGTGGAAAAAGCCTATCAAATGAACTTTGTAAAAATAAAGTTTCTCCTTTCTGTATTAGATGCTCACTCATGGCCCAGAATAATAAGTAAGGTTTGTGGTGTTGGCTAATACAGCAGAGTGATTTTTCATTCTGTGATGTATCTCAACTCTGTATCTCAGTGCCACGACATTTTCTGGGGAATCGTTCCTCATAAATCCACAGATGCTGTGTTTATTTACTATCAGCAAAACTTAGGGATATTCTATTGGAAACATTAAGTGGGTATGGCTCATCATCCTAGAAAATATTATTAGTATAGTCTATCTTGAAGTACAGTTACATCCACAAGGACATCAATCCAAATCATCAGTCTTATTTTCTTTCCCTGGGTGCAGTCTCCCCATAGTTGGGAGAGAAATGAATCATTGGCCACTTTAAAACCTTCAACAAATTCACTGTTTGAACTAGTTAATATCTCTCACCACGCATTTCTTAGGTTATCACTATTTGTCTTACTATATTTTAAACAAAGGATAAGGCATTTAATATCTCAATAATGACCAATATTTGAACCACCTAATGGGGAGTAGAAATAGAGAATGTTCACAGCAAACATATTTCTTTAAAGTTCATTTGATATTTTTTTGCACCTTGGTTACTATTTAATTGTACAAAATTACTGGGACCTTTTTTGTATGATTTGACAGAAACATTTAATTGAATGTGCAATGTTTCTAAAGTCAAAGTCACTTTCTCTTCTGGACAATAAATTTCAATATTTATCATGTTTTATATTAATGGAAAACTTCAACTCGTCTTCTCAAAGCATTTCCTAATCAATGCAATTCTTCTGACCTTCAGATTACAGATCAATGAGAAGGCAGTCCTTTTTCTCCAGAGAAAAGAAATCCAAAGTTTCTCCCAATATTGGCCATTAATCATAATCAGATTTGATAAGGATATACAACAGTGTTTCAGATACTTCATCTGAGCAGAATCATTCAGTACTTTTCCTTCTGTGATTGGCTTATTTCACTTAGCATAATGTCCTCCAAATCTACCCATGTTGTTGCAAATAGCAGAATGTTCATGGCCATTTATAAGTGATTCCTTCCCTGTTGGCCTTGAGGTGCAGTTTCTCATTAGCCCTTTAGCCCTAAACTCTTCCATGCCTGCTCACTACACAAACCAGATAATGAATTTAAGAAATCTGGCCAAAGCATCCGCTTTATTCCAAATCCCTTCTTTGCCAAGAAATGGATATTTCTAGTGGTTATGTATATGACACAAATTAAATCTTCCTCTAAATTCCCTCAGGAATTTTTTTTTAATGATTGCCCAGTTCCCTGACTGTATAACAAGATAACTGGCTTCAGCTAAAGAGCCTTTGCTTTCAGCTCTGTCCACTGTGTAGATCTGCCCTTGTCTTCTTCCAGTAAGCATTTCCTAAACGCAGGTGTATCACTGTGGATTTACAAACAGCAAGATGACCTAATTCAGAAACTCTCATCAGGGAGCCAGAGAGTTTCCTTTGCTTCCACTGGGAGCAATTTGTCAGACATAAAGCATGCAATGTGGATAGAGAGGTCCTCTGCATGCTTTATTGTCGGTCCTACATGCCATGAAGCATCCTGCTCTTATATGCAGTGATTCTCTTCTCTAACCATTCCCCCTTCACAAAGTATGGTCTTTAATATCCTACTTTGCAGTTCATGGTGAACTTTTGCTGTACAGTTTGATCTCTTTATGAATACTTCTGACTTTACCTAAGACAAAGCATTTTAGGTTTCAGAGTTACCTGAAAATGGCTTATTGGGAACAACTATCTTGGGCAGATTTTGTGCTCTAAGCATAAGAGGCCTTCACTGAACTATATCATTTCTGCCTATAGCTTCAGTCTGTGCAATTCTGGTCTCAGATAGATCTAATATCAGCTAAGCAGTCAAATGATAAAGTCCTGCTTTAGCCTTTATTCCTGCTTCACCACCCTTTGAAAATTCTTTAGCAATCAGTTCTACTCAAGACTTCACTCAATTTCAATTATCTTCCTTGTGATTTTGTGAATAGGGGCAAATATGACACTTAGATTAAAAACAACAACAAAAAACGTTCTACCAAAACCAAAGCAACCCTATTTGTTTCTAAGACTCTTGCCTATTGGCCAATTCTGTAAGAAACCCATTTTTTTTGTCTGTTCATTGGTTTCAAAAATGATTTTAGTTTCTCTAGTTCATGTAATTCCTGAGTCTTTGATTTATAGCTGAGTTTATAAACCTGCCTTTATCTGTCATGTGTATCACTCAAGTCCTCAATGCTTCTTGACTTCTTATTCAGAGGAGAAGTTATCCTAATAATAGTCAATGCAGTTTGCTAACTTGCTTTGACTGTTTATTAAGTCAAAGCCTTATCTTATGAAATTATGGCAGTTATGTCAGCTATTTCAAGGGTACTTTGGCAACACAATAAATTTGCATGAGTTCTGTTCTGTGAGAATGCAAATTGTGCCTGCTTATTATTGGAAATCATGATGGCAAATAAGCCATCAGCCAAGTTTACAATGACAGACAGTCTCACTGGCCTTTTGTGCATCCTGTATGGTTTTTATCATATTAGACACAGTTGAAGCATTTGGAATAACCACCTTGTTGCCTGCTTGATAACCTACAGTTGTCATGTACTGGACAGACAGGTCTGCTAAAAGGAGAGCTAATGGGAGCCAATAAGCACACCCCAATCATTCTCTCAATCAGCGTGTTAATGTTTTGTATATTCTTGGAAGTCTATTGCTTTCTATGTATTGTGTAAAAGAATGCAGGAAATTACCAAGGTTCCCATTTAATGTGTCTAATTAAAACTCCAGAAAAGATGACTTAGACAAAATATTCCTGTTCTCCCACCTTGAAAAAAAAAAAAGGATTCAGGCAACATTCCCTATCCACTTCAGTTATACATTTAGCTAAAGGCCATTAATCATTAAAAAGTCTGTCCAGTCCTACTTTGTGCCTCTAATCTCAGCCTGACCTTGTTCTCTCCATGGTATTTCCAATCTTTCCAGTTTCATCTCTGGGGCATTCAGAGCACCACCTCTGTTTCATAAGTGCTACAAAACATTAAACACCTTTATCTAGCAATCCTAAGGAGCATTGCTTACCAGTCTCAGGCTCTTTCACCAAAATGTCTATGATTCCTTCTTGGGAGCTTGGCAATCGTCTCAGCATGTCAATCTTTTTTGGACCAATGTCTTTATCCATAGAAATAAATTCAGGTTGGTTGCTCAGGGACTTCCCATATTGAATCATGACTCATTATTTGACTTGATTTCTTCCATATTCTAATACTTAGGGCTGAACTTACAGAGACAATTTAAAAGGTGGGAGAGAAGACTGAAACATCTCCTTGCTGCAAACTGGCGTTACTAGCTAAGGACTATGGGAGATTAGAAAATTAAAATACCTTACATTCTGCCATAGTATTAAATATCAGACTTATTTTATATAAAAGACTCACGTGTGCAGATATGAGGATAAAGCTGGAATTAGGTGGAGTGCTGCTCTCAGAAGGAAAAGCAGATCTAAAGAGTTATGCCAGCAATCTTTATTTATATATGTCTCATTATCAGGTTAAAGACTATGCAAGAGTTATTCTTTGTACTCAGGAAAGTTATAGAACTAGAAACATCTGTGTAGCTTTTCCACAGTTGCAAAGTACAATGTTAGGAGCTTTTTGTTAGGTCCACTGTTTAAAGTTATGGTTAAGCAGGCAGGCTCAGGAGTAGCAGAGCTGGTGAAACATTGTGGTTGTCAGGCATGAAAATTCCTCTATCCCTGAGAACTATGTGCCTGAGGTCAAGGCCAACACTGATAAGACTCTTAACACAGAGCCTCCTCAGGCAGGGTGTTACCATAGCAATTAGGCATCCTGTGCCCCTGCACAGAAACTTTCCCAGGCACCAGACACGCCATAGCCATGAAGTCATTAGAGACCCCCAATCTCAATTACTGCTCTCCCATTCACTGTCACCACTCTCCACATCTCCTCACCCTCCAAATGTTGGTACTACCATACTAACCTCTTAGTAGAAACTGTACAGAGGGGCTGGTGGTGTAGCTCAGTGGTCAGTGATAAAACACTTGCACAGCAAGTATAAGGCTCTGTGTTCAATCACCAACACAAAAACAAGCACACACACACACACACACACACACAAACACTTTTATTATTTTACAGTGGTTTTTATAAACCACATAAACAGTTCTATTCAGTTGAATGGGATTATTATTTCCTCTCCATCTTCTCATTTTTCAACTCATGCCCTTTTGTTTTTTATGCATAGGTCTTTAATCATTATGCAGTCTTCTGTGCTTTAACTGAGTCAGCAAGTCCATCACTGTCTCCTCAATATTCTTGTGGCTTCCTAAAAGCAAATTACATAAGGGAAACCCTCCAGGTTATTACAGCATTTTTCATTATCCTTGTTAGAAAGATTAAATTTAGTGTGTGTCTCTGGTCATCAAATAGCCACCTTGTGGTCACTTGTACTTAACACATGCCTACAGTGTCAGATGGTGTAATATATTTGTGGGTGAAATGGTAGTGCAGTTATCCCTCTTACTATAGGTTTGCTGTGCTTCTACTTTCACCAATAGGGGCAGATTGATTGTGATACAACCGGGATTATCTGATCCTAGAAGACCTCAACCACTGAAGATTGCAACCCAGTTTACATGCTTCTAAAATTCACAAGGTATTCAGACAGTTTAAGACCCCTGCAGATAATGATTCACCATGCTACTGCTGATTTTTTATGTGTGAAATGTTGAATATCCTTGGGATTCAGTATTTACCTGACCTTTTCCTCTGCTCTTTGTATAGTGTTTTGATTGGACAACTGCCCAGCTATATTATTTTGTGAAGGAGTAAGCCATAACTCCACATAGTCTTAGAAGTTTAAGTAGGTGTTCCATGACAGGAAAGAAACAGCCTCACTGCATTCCCTTACAGGTGTCACTTACCAGAGCCACTAGCTCTAGACAGGTGATAGAAATATTTCTATTCCCCTCATCTAGCCACCTCTTATCAATCTACTTAGCCTTTCCCCCTAAGGCATGTCCTCTTTTTCCAAATCCTATTGTCCCAAAGCTTCACCATGTCCTACCAATAATGGTCAAAGAGTCATTCTGTAATTAATCCTCATTATTTTTTTTCATCTACAAAGGGTCAGACTGGCAAAGAAATATGATTCAAAAGCCTTGTTCCTTATGAAAACTTACCAGTAATTTCAGGGCACAGGCAATCAAGAGGCTTAGACAAACCAGGAAGTTGTATGGAATATCAAGACCAGTTCCCTGACACTCTCTTTCCATGTTGAGATGTTTCTGGTTCAAATAGCAGATGAAGTCTCCAGGTATAATTCTGCATATTGCCTCACACAACTGGAGGAATATTTAAAGTATGAAATGTCTTTATTTCTCAATTTAAGGAACATTTTCCAAGGAACCCCAGCATTATAAATCTTTAGTTTATAATTTATTTTCTACAGGCAGCTCCTAACTAAACTACAATGAATGACCAAAATTAGTCTCTCTCATAAAGAAATAATTGAATACTGACTGTTCCATGTCTGTGCTCCTCTTTTAAGACACTGATGATCACACTGAGCCTACCCACATAATCCAGAAATACACATATTTTAGAATCAGTTAATTAACAATATCAATATCTTTCTGTTATGTAATGTAACCTGTTCAGAAATTATAGATATCAAGACATAGACCTTTGGGAGATCGTAGCTCTGCCTGTGAGAAGTTTAAGTTTTATAGTTAGGGTCAGTTAGCATTTTTCATATCTGAGGTACAAATTGAGATAGGTTAATTTTATAGGATTTTCCTAATATGGGAGTTTTCTGATTATTTTGATGGCATTAAAATAAACTGCTTGACAAGGATATTGCTAAAGTGATATTATGATGTCTTCTAATGAGGGGCATGCATATAATACCTATTTGTAGCACAGTTTGGATTATTTAATCATTTAACTAAGGTTGTATCTGACCAGTTTCTCCAATGCACATTTTTAATTTTTTGCTTTGTAATTAATAAGTATGATGTGGAGAGAGAATTTCAGAGTATGCAACTGTTCTGCATCTTATCAAATTTTTGCCCACCACTTTTAGCTGTCACTGATGATTGTTTCCTGAAATTATTATTACTGTAGCGAATGTCATGTGGTAACTTTCTAAATCCATTACTAATTCTGCATTCATTAATTAGAATTCATACTACTTTTATTATTTGGAATGCTGTTTCTAGAGTAAATCACCATTTCATATTATTCATTTATTTATATTTATATCAGTCTGGTTTTATGGACTCCTATTTCATTCAGTGGGTCATCTTTTATTATCACTCCTTATTTTAATGCTGAAAATGTTCCAGAGCCTAAATACACAGATACCTCTTTCTCTTTTGACACATTTCCATGTTAGCATTACTTTACATTCTGCCATAGTATTAAATATTAGACTTATTTTGTAAGTCTCATCACCCGCATTGACATTGGTCGTCATTTTTGTAGTTCATTTGGGTAGATAATTGTATTGAAAAATCAAATTCTGGATTTTATGTTTTTTTCCCCCTGAGGTTGCATTATACCTACACCTTTTCAATGGAGAAAATACATTTGTGTGTGTGTGTGTGTGTGTGTGTGTGTGTATGTGCATACATTTGCTTCAATTTCAGACTAATACCACAAGGTTCATTCTAACTTTCCTCTTTTCCACATTTTATCTCACTTTTCTTGTTGTTTAGAAACCTGTATCCCACTACTCACAATATGCCTATACATTTGCTTAACCCTAGGATACACATTGTATAACTAAAGAAATTCAAACCATACCAAAAGAAACAAGAGTAAGACGGACCACCTACTCATAAGGTTCAATATTGGCCTCTTCTAGTTTTTTAATCATTAGAGTCAAGGTATGTTTTTAAAGTAATACATTGAAGAGTTATTTAAGTTTATTTCCTTTTTCTCTTTCAGTATGTTTATGATATACATTTAAAATAGAGCTGGTTGCTTTGCATCTGTTTTTGTTCTATTTTGAGTTTTTGTTTTCGTTCTCGTTGCTCTTAGTTTTCCACTCCTTTCCTCTTTCTTTTCTCATCACCACTTCTCTTGTCCCCACTCTTGTTTCTCTTTCTTTCAAAACACAACCTGGGTGTCCAAAAGTTAGAGCCATAGCAGAGTTATATATGTATTTATTTTGCATTCTAATATTTCCATTATTTTCTTTTTATAGTTTCTATCTCCTTGACATAATTCTCCTTCAATACATACATTTTTCACCTTTTCTATTAGATTCTTTTGCACACTAACTATATCTTTAAAAAAATTGATGTCAAAGAATTCCATCATTTGAATCATCTCTGGGTCTGGTTCTATTGATTATTTTTTATTTTCAAATTGGTTATTTCTCCATGTTTCATTTTATGTCTCATGATTTCCAATTGAAAACTATTACACATTTCAGCCTTCTATGATAATACCTCTTAGTGTAGACCAGCAGACACTGATTTTTTTAAATAAGGTTTCTGCCTAGAAATAGGCATAGCTCTTTGCATTAGCTGCTTTAGAGATTGTTGATTCAATCCCACTGGTGATCTAGCTGAGTTCAGGCTTCAATGTCACTTATGTTACCTTCAGTGCTTCACAGCCTCACATTTCTTTTTCCTAGTGGTGAGTTATTCAGCAGATATAAATATTAAATAGATGAGACATGGAGGCGAAGTGATAGGCATTTCAGGTCCTCTGATTCCTTGGGAAAATAAACCCAGAGGGTACACTAAATAACAGCTTTAAAAGAAAATTTTATATTTTAATGTCTTTATTAAATCCATTTTTGTAAAAGATATCACATTCTCACTGTGTGTATACACACATATGAACAAATGTCAAATTAGAACTAAATATATGATTTAATATATATGTAATTATAAAATTAAGGTAAAATACATATAATATATTTTGTATAATATATATTTGTTTCTAATTTGACATTCTTGCAAATATTTTTTGTATTTAATATTCTGGATTTCTTCTCTTTGACTACTAAAAGTCCTTTTATACAACTCAGATGAAATTATTTTTAAAAGTTCATTAAAGAAACTTATATGTCTGAAAGTTAGCCCTTTTTAGATTGATAACAATGACTTATTGTCAGTGATGAGTACATGGCAGATATTTTTAATAAGGAAGATTATGGATGACTTAACAATTGTCAATACAGGTTAAGCACTATTTTCCAGAGGTCGTGTTCTAAAGAATGAGGAAAATACTGCTTCTACTGTATAAAGGGAAGAAAATCTATATTTTCAATATATGTGTGTGACTATATTTGTTTTTATATATTACTACATTTTTTAAAATTTATATTTACATGTGTAGAGATAAATACATGTGCATATGTTTTTGTTTCTTTTGCATTCAAATATTCAACTGTAAAAATATCTTGAAAGTCTAAAATGTTCACATCTTTGATGCTGTAGTGAGTAATAGCAAACTCTTAAATCAATGGTTTTATATTTAAAATTCAGCTTCTTAGATTGGCTATAAAGGTATTGTTTTATTGAACCACTCTAATACTTTTTCTTGTTGAAAACTATTACACATTTCAGTCTTCTATGATACTACCTCTTAGTTTTCTCCATCAAGGATCACTCATGATGAAAAGGTACTGCCCAAGGAAAATAAATCTCAAATAAGGATAATACTAACTTGCATATCAATTAGATTTACATGGAAACTAGATATTGATAGATTTAATGAAATAATCTAGTTCTGTTATTAGGAAATAGAGTCAAAGCAAATTGTGCTTACATTCGTTATTCTATGTCATCTGTACCTCTCTATTCAGACATTTTTTTTCTGATTATAAAAGATTAAAAAATTACAGAAAAAAGGTCTAGGAATACAAATAAGCAAAAAATGTATAATAATTACCAACAATTCCATCATCTAGAGTAATCTGTTACAATTGTGGCAAGTATGATTCTAGAAAGGAAAAAGGTTTAATGACTTCCACCCCTGATTTCTCTTTCCAAAGCTCTAGATTCTCCTCCTAAAGATAAGGCTTAGGGTCTGAGTAAATTGCAGTGACTAGGGTCTCTAAAGGGAGCCCCTGCAGTTAAACCTATATCCATTTCCCCTCCAGATTCAAAGACAAAGGAACAGTACAAGGACTACAATAAAATTTATTTATCACACATTTTTCTACATATAAATGAAGAGTTTAAGACTAATGGTAAAATAGCTCATGTTTTTTACATTAATACAACTTTTGAATTGAGACTTTGTTTTGTGTAAAAGATATCACAAGCGGAGTTGTGCAGCAAAGATGTGCTGGGCCCATAAAACACTTCACACACTTCAGGGACAGGATCCACGGATCATTCAGTCCTCAGCATGGGAAGTATGTAAATCTGACTTCCTCAAGTTGGCATACACAGTCCTTTTAGTCCTTAGGTTATTTCATCTGCAGAATTAGCGTGATACACAGAGTGCCCTTTAAACAATTCTGTTCTCTTACAAGTCTTTTGTCCAACTCTGTATTTACATGAGCTCTTCCAAATAAAATATGATTTTAGTTTATTAATAATCCATTAGAAGAGAAGGAAAAGAGATTCTACCCTCTTAAAAAAAAAGAAAAGAAAAAAGAAAAACTCACATGGAGTTTAAGTGAGTCCACAG